ATCTATTTCAAAATTACTTCCAAAAAATAAGAATTAGAAGAAGAAATTTTAGATACTTCAATAATCTGTGATGCTAAAATTGCTTTAGTGAAATAAAGCAACAATTACAGAAGATGACAATATCTGAGGAATATCTGAGGAGTATTTTGTTCCTTTAATAACATTTTAACTTTTATGTTATTTTGGCAGAATTTTTATAAATATCTATAAAGAAGAACTTTTTATAAACTTCAAAAAAATGTTATATGTATTTTTTGACAAATTATTATAATGACTCGCCCCCCACAGCTATGAGTTCAAAAGGTTTCCTTATTTCATTGCCATATCTATTTTATGTTCATAGATTGGAAACAACGCATTGGGATTAAACGGCTATTCTTCCGTTCCGAAGGAAAAAAGATTGTTCAAAATTTCATCATTCAGTTTATCGATGCTCCATATCTATCAAAATTGAAAGCGTAATTTTGAATTATTGCCCATTTGGAGAATGGTTAATGATTGAAATATCTACAAATGGTATTACAATTTCTCAATCTATTTTATTTCATACCTTTGATATTAAAATTTAATTGGTCGGAAAATTTAACCTTAATAATCTTATGTGTAATAAAATTGTATAAAACGATCCCAAAAGAGAAACACTCTCATAGTGGACAGTAACTCAAAATTTCGCTTTAAATTTTGATAGACCGATGTATCGACAAACCAAAAATGGGTCGATACTATTGAAATAAAGTTTAGGTCAATTTCGACAACTACTTAATCAAAATGAAAAAATTAATAAACCAATATGACAAAATTTGACATTCAATTTAACTTCATTTTCGGTTGTTTTATGCTAATATAACTTTCTGTTGTTGAAAAAGTAGAACAAACTACACATCATTTTGAAAAATAGATGTACTTCATCCTTTCTCGTTCAATAATTTATATATGTACTTTAATAACGTGTGACTCAAAAAACAAAGAATGGACTCAGCATGAGGAAAAGAAAAATGTTGGCTAATTTAGAATCCAAGCGTAAATTTTGTAGATTGTAGGAGGTACTAAAATTAAATCAATTTAATCTATAGAAAGCCATTTCTTCATGTTGTACTTTTAAACTGAGATTATATGCCGGAAATTCTAAACGCCAAAAATATGTTGCCAGTTTTTGGGAAAGTTTACTGCAATAACTTTACAATTTACAGTGATGTGGTATAATCGTAGTAGATAAAGCATCCATTTTTTCTTAACTCATCGAATGAAACTAATTATGACTAATTAATTACTCGTAATTTTCTTCGAATTCATTATCAAAATAATGTTGGTTCATGAGAGTAATTGGAAGATTAATCCACACTATATTTTCTTATCTCATTTTAATTTTCCTTTTGCATCTCAAGATTATCATCACATGCAATAAAAAAAACTTTGCTTCATTATCACAAACAGAGAGTAATAGCAAATGGATCAGTAATATATCATGAATGTCTTAATAATTAAACTTCTACCATGAATAACACTCAACTAGCATATCGGTAATGAACCTGGAAATAATAATAATGGCAATAACGGTGACAATAATGACAAAATAAACATGGCTCTTGTATTATTATTGTAACCATTGTATTATCATCGTTATCATCATCTTTATCGCTGTTGTTGCTGCTGTTATCGCTACGACTACTTAATAACACCTATGATACATATGTAATACATTGACAAACAAATAATGTAATTATTTTTTCTGTTATTATCACTACTTATATCTCTTGCATTATTAAAGTAGTCATTTGTCATTGTTGTTGCCACCGTCGCTTGTTTAATAACACTCCTATGATCCAATTTTAAGTAACTGTATTGAAATTAATAAAACTTAAAATTAATTACCATATCTTCGGGATTTTGTGTAATTTTCAAATGTTTTCTGGAAGAGATCCAATCTAGAAGCTGTCAAAAAGGTTTTAGTCAAAATTTGATTCATAATTTTTACCACTGTGTCATGCATTCCAATAAAAATCATGTATTCCAAAATTGGTAAAAGGTGGTAGAAATGAAGAAAGTAAAACTTTCTTTTTTCAGTGAACATTTATGAAATTTTATTAGTTATTGCGTGACCGTTAGAATGTTTTCGATGAAAAAAGAGTAATAACTGAAAATGATGAATAAAATGAGAGGGCCTATTCGGAATTATTGCCACCCAACGATGATGATTTTATTGAGTACCACATCTAAGGGATTTTTCTAATTTCATAAGGCAAATGTATATGAAAATACACGAAAGTTCATAATTTTATTGCAAAATCCATCTATCAGCTATCGCAACAGCGTTACTTTCCAATAGCTAACCAAATTTAAAATGAAATTATTATAAAAAAGAGAGAGAAAGAGAGGAAGAAAAGAAAAAAGGGAAAAAAGAAAGAAAGGGAAGAAGAAATCACAGTATAAAATCATAAACTTCTATGGAACACATCATAAAAGATTCATATTAAGAGAACATTTATTTTTGAGTGACACCTGACTTTGAAATATTGCCAAAATATACAGATAGAGGAATGTGACTTTAGAACGGTAGGTATCTTTCTCTCGCAGTCTTAAATTTTAGTTATAAGAGTAACATGACAATAATAAGCGATAAAGTTTCAAAAACATCATATCATGTCTATTTCCCTTCAACTCATTCATCTATAATTCAACAGAGATTCGAATCATTTCTTAGGTTTTGAAAAAAAAATTTTTTTTAGTCGGAAATAATTTTTTCAGTAAAGACATGAAATATATTTTGATTTATATTTTGACCCGAAAAAATATGACAGGTCATTGTATTATTTCGTTATAAAGATATATAAAGAAGGAAATCTCGAGGAATATCTAAATACCGTTAGAAAGGTGATCTGTTAATTGTATTCAAAGGTCGTAATCATATATATCGGATAATTTATGATGAACATTATTTTTAGTCGCCAATTTATTGTAAGAGAAAATGATGTATGCAAAAGTAAGATATAATTCATTCAAGAAGTAAACAACTTTTCAAATAATTCTGATGTCAACAAAATTGCTGCATTTAACAAATTATTTGCTGTGTATTTTAGGGTAGATATAAGAGATGGTGACGAATAACTGTTTAATTATGTCTTGTTAAATGCAAAAACTTCGTAAATGTCATATTACGGTTTTGGGCTAAAATGAAATGATACTTTTACTTTATCATGGATCTTAAATCAAAAAATTATAGTCATACAAATTTATTTTTGTGGAAATTCAAAAGCAATATATATATATATATATGAATTACAAATTCTTAGGGAATCTTGAAATGCAAAATTTAATAAAGATTTTTAAATTAAATCTATTTTTAGAGCTATATTTTATTCAAACAATGTTTGTGTGCCTTATATTTGCATAAGAAATTTGAAAAAAAAGTCTAGATGCTCTTCAAGTATTTCTCATTTCTACTACAGGCCTAATTTGGGATAATGCTAACACAGTGCTTGAATTCTCGGATCGGTCTAAAAGGATGAATGAAAGAAGAAAGAGGGACGCAATGAAAAGAAGTGAAGGCCTTGGAAATTTTTGAGTTGCCGATTTGTTCAAATTTACTCTTCCTTATCAAAATATGCTATAGTATATAAATAAATAAGCGCTTTGAATAGTAGCACTTAAGTGCTTTAGCACAAATCGCTTTCATCTTTTCCCTTTTCCCCCTTTCGTCTTGCCTTCTTTTCAAATATATACAAATGATGTTCAGCAACAAATAAACTTTCGTCTTATAGACAACCAACCAGAAGGGTATAAATATAAAAGAAGCAAGAAACAGAACCGAAAAAATATGATGGGTAACTGAATGAAATCAATGCTATCATCACTGAAATAACTGCAGTAAGTTCAATGAAAAAGATATAGACGGTGATTACTATCCATCCATTCTACAATTCCTAAATGGACAAAAAGGGGAGCTAGAATATAATTATTTAATTTATAAATCATCATATAACAATAATCCTAAGTCAGCAATATCCAAATGTTATGGAAAATTTTCTTTTCTCTTCCTTTCTCTCTCTCTTCCCATTTTCTTTATCTTAAATAAATAAATTCCACTTAATTGCAACAATCGTCTGGCTACTATTAATTTCAAAATTCGATCGTTGTAGCCTTCAAAGAGCATTCAACATTTTAAGCAAAAAAAAAAAAAACGAAACTCCATAATAGTAGAAGAGATCAATGAAATTTACGAATAAATTTCTCACAGCACTTAATGAATCGATGTCCTTTTTGAAATCGTTTTCACATTACTTTTCAATTCACTATTACTTACTGACAGCTAGCTATATCCTCACTGCCTCATAATCATTGAAATATCTTTAGATCTTTTTTATCCGTTCCAAAAATAACTGATGTATGTATACGCTAACGATGAGGGAAAGCCATTCTGAAATTTAATGAATTGCTTAAATTTAAATAATCTTTTGATAGGCACTAACCAGTCATTCGATACGAGTCATCTTGCAAGGTGACACTACTATATTACTAGATATTGCCATAATAACTCCATCTAAAAAGTGGTAAGTGACAAGGAAAATCAAACTATTCCATTTATCAGTTACTGCTCAATCATATAATAATTATTATCAATGTAGCCTTTCAAAACATTAATTTATCTTAAGCAAAAGAGAAGAAATAAACAATACGTAAGTGAATCTATGTAAAATTTAGTTGTATGAAAGTGTTTATGTTTTGATTAAATTAGATTGGTAAAAGAATCCGTGCTTGCTGAATGACCGGTAAATTTACGACTTAGATGTGATAGGGAGAAGAAGGGAAGGAGAGAGAGAGAGAGGGAGAGAGAGAGAGTTCTTATCTCGTCAGTGTAACAAAATTACTCCTCGATATTTCTATCTTTTCATACCTCTCTTTTTAATGGTAACATTGTTCATCCTGGAGGAGAGACACCAGGAAAAGGACATTCGCTCACAAGTAATGTATGTAAGGCCCTTCCAGACATAGCTTAATCTACTTCACGCTAGGTTAGCACCACCATCGTCACCAAAAGCAGCAGCAACAGCATGAACATCAGCAAACCAAGTAACATTCCTCAGAGCAGACGTAATAATCAATAGAGAGATGTCTTATTTCTTTCATTTTTTCATTCAACTTACATTTGCACTCTCCGTAATGATTTCGGATTTGACGGGAAATGAAAAGATAGTAAAAAAATACAGGAAGGGGAGAAAATGAGGGGGAGAAACCGGATCAAGTTTAACGATGAGTGATAGAAGATAGGATAGCAGTAGGAGAGAGAGAGAAAAAGAAAAAAAGGAATGAATAATTAACAGGAAATAAAATTTCGTGCCTTAAATTGAATAAAAAGAAGAGTAAGAAAGGAAAGGATAAGATGAGAAGGAAAAAAAACTAACTTCTTGATGAACTGTCGCCTAATTTCCGCTGCCTGCTCGGCTTCGATTTTATAGAGGTGCTCCTGTGAGCAGCAGTAGTAACTTCCTGGGATAATATGAGATGGACAGCAATATTTCTCATCTTCATTATCCTTAAAATCTGGACATACTTTACGTTTGGTGATCGATTTTGGTTTATTCAAACCACTGCTACTACTGCTACTACTGCTAACACCGGAACTGGATGATTCAGATGGACATGTTACCGCATCAACGATCCGTAATACAAGTATGAGTGATACAATAATATAGCGATAATACAGGATCGCTGTTAATGTACCAAGAAGTGTCGTCGAGCAACGAAATGAAGCCATTCTTTATTACCACAGAAAGAATACTGATCAAATTTCTAACTAATCAGTGAATACATGACGTTATCGATACCATCTGAAGTCCATGAAATCAATCGTTAAAATTTGACCAATTAGCTTCATGACAGAAAAATCAGCACAATATGAAATTTTAAATAATTTTTTTTCTTTCCAGTCTAAGTATTATCTACAAATATACTTCCTGGTTCATATGAGATTATAAAACGTAAATTTTTTATGCTTTTTTCCTAAATGAAATATATGCTCATTTGATAATAATTCTCTATTGACGAAGCTATTTTGATACAATTGTTAATAATGAAATAAGCAATCATTAACAATGTTTAAAAGAAGCATGAAAATTATCCTTGTTGGCCGGCCATATGTTCTCGGAATCATCGTAAGACAGTAGAGGATAAGACAAAGCGATTATATAATGAATTTAATGGAGTTGATCAATAATTAAATTAACAAATGCACACTTATCAATAATCACGAATGATTTCAATAAGCAAGAAAGGTAACAAAGATACGGGGGAAAAAAACAAGAGAAGAAGGAGATAGGGACGGATGGAATCGGAGAGGACAAAATCGAGATTGAATGAAGTGTGAAATAAATGGAATTTTTGGTGGAAAACAAAAAAGCTATTGCCTCTTCTACATTGAATGATTTGAAATCAAATGATAAACAAGCGTATATGTGTGGGTGAATGAATATTTGACATAAAATTGAAAACAAGTAACCATCGATCAATGAATGAATAAGTTTGAAAGCGATCTGAATGGATGAGAAATTGGATGAAAGAGATCAATCAACATTCAACATTGCTTTTCAACAATTTAAACAACAAAATCGACAATCAAATTGCAATTAACAATTATAAATAATAATAATTTTATCAAATGTTACATTTGCAAAAATAGAAAAAAAACAAAAACTATTCCAAATTCACTTAAAAATATCTGTTCCTATCCATTCTATTAGTTACCATAATTAATGAATCAAATTATCCCATACACTAAACTTATTCTCGTTCTTTTTTCTTTTCCTGATTATTAATGCAATTTAATAGTTTGAAACAATAGAAGCAATTTTAATTATTTAAAAAAACTGTTAATTGTAAGTGAGTTGAGCAAAAAGTTCAGGATTTTTCATTTTTTTTTTGTTTTTCACTAAATTCATTTTCAGTCTCTTCTCGTTGATCCATATTTGATTAGGAAGGAAATGGAGATGTCGAATTAAGCTTGGATTCTGAAATTACCATTCACTACTTTTGCCATTCCATCCCATTTAAATCATTAAAGTACACTGATAATTTTGTATTCTACTATTAAATGCTCGCTTGCATGATTGTTCTTGATTAGTCACCTCGATTAATTTAAATACTGATTTTTCTAGGGTAAAATAAAATTCCAAATTTATAATTTCAGCACAAAAATGTATCTCAACAAGGTAAAAGCAGTATCATAGTAGCTGTGAGCGAAGTTTATGCCCAATAATTGTATTGGAAGAGGATATGACGATAAATTGCTACGGTACTTCGCTAAGACAAATCATAGGAATTTGAGAATTTATGGGAAGCACTAGAAAAAGTACTCAAACATTCTACAAATTAATTCTTGAAATAGTCTTTCTTCTAGTGGGAATTACTAACAAAAAGTTTTTTGATTCCCTGGTGATTCGACCATTGGATTTCCTTCAAATAAACTAGTAAATAATAGTATGTCTACATTCAGAAACTTTTTCTTTTTCTTAAATTCAGCAGTAGTGAAAAACAAGCGATAAATTGAGAATTATTTCCGAAAAAATCAAGATTTCGAAAATAATTTAACAAAAGACAATTAAACAATTAAGTATCGTAGGAGAGATATTCTGCATGTTATGCACTATACTGTATCAACTGACAAATGTGCATGAATGTAGATACAAAAATATTAGATGACCTTCAGATGGATACGTAATACTTGACGACAATAAGTAATCTTCAAATTATGAACCGCTATTTTGACGAAACTATTTCAGGTGACGGGTTAACATAAATGTGCAATTGTAATAGGGTGACAATCAATAATGAAACTAAAGTATCATATGTCACTGTAACCGGTAATGCAAATTCGCAGTGAATTAACCAAAGACTGTACGACAAAGCAGGAACGATCAGATGTTATTATTATCGCGAGTCGATTTTTCATCTCGCGTATTACCACCTTCCACTGCTTACAATTCAATTCACATTACCGCTTCAAGCTCATTACAGCTTTGTGCACCATTTTGATGTCACAAGCATCATATACATACACTCATACATACATATATACACACACCACAGCAACATTAGCAATGCACACCGCAACCGCCGCACAGATATATACATAAACTCGGAAAAAGTGTCCGGCAAGGACGTTAAGGCTCTTCCACCTTCTCTTCTCCCAAAGAATACCCGAAATATGCTCGCTCCGCCTCGGTACTACAGGCAGAAAAGTGAGGACGGGGCAAAAGTACGGGCGGTTCCATTCCTAGTCGGGGGCCTTAATAGGCTCAGGGTCTCCTTGCCCATCTCCGCCCCATGGAGACGGGGAAGAAAACGTCCAGCTGGCCACACCCTCACAGACTCGTATCCCATACCCCAACCATCCCGAAACATGCCATCATCACACACACACATACACACACACACACACACACACACATACACATACACACACAGATACGCACACACAGATAAACACAGACACACACATACACACAGACACACAGACACACAGACACACACGCACTCTTCATCTTAATTAAATTACCCAAATCTAATGATACTACATTGTTCCACATATGTTATATGTTTATAAATATATATTTATATCATTTGACTACTCTCCAGCTTTATATTTGTTTGATGAGATAGCAGAGGGAAGATACCGAACTACGCAATGATCAAACTACTTCAGGTTTCAGGGTAGATAAAAGATTAAAAATCCCTGAAGAATTATCGTAGAAGTGTTAATATCTAACAAATATCTTTGTTCCATTAACGATCGTTCTTGGATACTGATCTTAGAAATGAATATTAATGAACGATAAATTATGACAGTTGAATCAAGTAGTTTCGTGAAAGGTAATAAATTAGAATTTGTCCACTCCATAAGATAACAATTTAATGAATTTAATGAAAGTGAAGAAGGTTGGAATTCGATCGATAAGATGACGCTGTTAATGTAGTAATGTTATGGTATTAGAACTTCTTTTTTTGTAACATTCACGACTTTTATTTCCTTTTTTTTTAAATTAATTATTTAGCATAAAATATTTTTCTTTTAATCAAATAATAAAATTATCACATAGATAAATTTATAGTATAAGCGGAGAGATCTTAAGAAATTCTTTTATGTTTTTTTTTTATACATAATTTAATTTTTAGAGAAATTTGTAAACAAATACAATTTAAAAACGAAAGAGCAAAAAAAAAGTGATGAAATTTGGCAACAAGAGAAAAGGACAACATGAAGATAAGAAAAAGAAGGATCTGATTAGCATAATCATGTGTAAATTTAAAATCATTTTATTACAACAATCAATATAATATCATCATATAGCTTCAAATTTGATCAATATATAAATGCATATATTTAATTGATCAAATGGTCATTTCATTTATTATTGACAACAATATAGCAAATTGCCACGAATACTAATTACTACAACTGCTATTGCTGTAATGCTTTTTAAAATTTATCCAATCTCTCAAATATTAATAACAGAAACCAAGAAGAGAGCTTCCTTCTTTATTTATAATGCAAATATGTGTACTAAACGATATTAACATATACATAGATAGATTGATATGATAAATGGTATTTATTGTTCAACAAAATTTCGATAAATCTTTAGTGAAAATTGAAGTTTGATGAAATGAATGGAGAAAGGTGGTGGTGGAGGTGGTGGAGGAGGAAGAGGAGGAGGAGGAGGATATGATGAAGGTGGAGGATGAAAAGGTAGAAAGAAAAGAAAAGAAATGGAAACAAAATTTACAAATTTCTTCGTTTAATATACCGTACCATCATCCTCCTTTATATTTGCTTTTCTTTTCTTATTTCTTCTTCTTCTTCCTAAGACCACTTTAAGATTCTCTTATTTATTTATTCATTCATTCATTCATCAGTAGAAGAATATCCTTAAAAACAAAATTATGTCCGCTGTTGAAAACGAATATAAAAATTTGCTTCACAACGTTGCTACCAGCTGAATTAGCTTCCCTTCATAAAGTACACTTCAAATTCTTCTTTTCATCCTCTCTAACATTCTTACTCTTTACAATTTCTTTTTCTCTTCATCAAAAAAAATAGAATTGAAAAAATGCATCATACAAAAATAATACTTTGTCTGATTGCTTTCAACGCTTTTTCCTCCATTAAACATCGTCGTCTTTTCAACTTCAATTTATCCATCTTATTATCTCTTCCTTCTTTTCATTCTCTCTAACAATCCTACTTCATTTTCACGTTGAATTCGAGAAATAGATGGCCTTAACAAGTCTAATTTAAATATTAATATGATCATCTTATAAAAGTAAAACCCTCAAGAAATAGTTATAATTTCCATGGCAACAAAGAGTTACGAGTTCAATTAGAGACATAACTCTTTTTTTTTTTTTGCTAACTAGTAAGTTGTCACACGTTTTGAGCATTATCTGAATAACTTCATAAAGGTTTACTCAATTTCTTTCAAACCCTTCTGAAATTCATTCAATTTCCTTTTGCTAACTAGTAAGTTGAATTTCCTTTTGCTAACTGATAAGTTATTATCTTCTCTCTTCCAACTTTAAATCGCTTCTTCTAACTCCAAAAAAAAAAAAAAAAAGCAGATCAAAATTTCTTGGTTTCAATTTAATTCTTTATTAATGACGAGAAGCTTAACATATGCTGTTAATAAGATGAGTTAATTTGAAATGATGAGAATACGAAGAATGAGATAATAATTATGATAATGATAATTTCCTGATAACGAA